AACCAAAACAACAAGAAATCTTTTTTCTTCCAAAACCTGGAAAGTAGCCGCGTGGGTGGAGTAGGGGGAAAAAAATTTCGGAGAAAATATTTGCTATCAAACGGTGCAAAACTTCCATGGAAAATGTTGCTCATCGAACAGGGCCTCAGAAAAAATGAAATTCGAGTACAAATCACAAGCGCCTTGGGCCTGGCCAAGAATATTCATTTCTCTGTGTAATTTACTCTGTAGTTTTACGTCTGTATACCAAGAAAAAATATTTATCTCAAAGGTTACAAAAACCCTGATAAATTAGACCTAAATAAGATTATGTCAACAAGCGGTCAGTAAAATATAATATAAAGATGCTATGATGAGAATGCTACCTTCCTCATCGGGTAAATGTTGTACAGAAATTTGATCTGCATCAAGAGGCATTACAAATATTTAGAAGTGTTCATACACATGGAGAAGAATAATATTTTTTGAAGCATAGAAATTAAGAGCAATGGATATACACGTCTCACCTTCAAGAGTTTCGGTCAGCATGCTCGCGAAAATGAATAGTGTTGCTGATAAATTGTCTCTCCTTACGGTAGCTAATAACAAAAATAAAAAGTTAATATCATGAGTAGAGATGTCACTGCAAGACCGTAACGCTACAATAATGTATACAGATGCTGCAACACAAATAAAAGAAAGTAATAGGGAAAGACAATATCTCTGCTTTAAGAGAGAGGATATAGATTAAAACTCACATTGCGAATGCCGTTACACTGAAACATGCGAATCCAAAGGAGAAGTGAACGAAAAATGTTGCCCAGAAGTTATCTCATCAAAATATATTTTCTCAAATACAAAAGTGGTGACACCTGAAAATAGTATGTATTCCCATCCTGAGGGAAAGAACGCACGAAAAGAAAATGAGGAAGACTCCTGAGAAGTGATTGAACAATACATTACAAGTCTGCATTTAAGAGATTCATGTTGACAAGTGTATGTATTTATATTTCAGAGATTCATGTTGACAAGTGTATGTCTTTACGACAGTCAAGGAAGCAGACAATGCAAACTATGATTTACTATTTTAGACCCATGGACAATCACAATCAGATGAATAAAATATATTTTAGCGGCAGCAACAAATTAAGCTTTGTTCCCAAATAATTAGGAGTCCTACATGAATCGCTTTCACCACTCCATTTGGTTCATTGCAAGGCCTATCCAGAGACCTAATAAACAATCATAAATTGCGTATTCATATCTACATAAAACACATATAGGTAGCATTCAGTGAAAAAAATACTAAAAAGGAATAATTCGTGTAGGAATCTTGAGGGAAATCCTCTACCTAAGCTACTCTCACTGCAGTAAAAACAAGAAGTAATGTAGCAGCATCAAGAGAACAAAGAAGAAAAAAACCTGATGCAGACCTTTCAAATGTGGCATATGAACTCTCCTCAAAGGGAAGTAACACCAGAGTAACCACTAAGCTTCCTGAAACATCGACCTGATTCAATTTAGCATACTCAGTAATTTTTTAAGTTTCAAACTGAAAATTGAGTTGCATGCTAGAACATTTAAACTTGAATAGCTCCATTTCAGACAACTGCATCTTTCTTATTGAAACGCGCCATCTTGTGAAGCAATGTATTAACTATAAGCAAAAAGAACATTAATGAAATACCAACCTAGTTCCTCTACAACTCCATATACTGCTTGATTATATGGTGTTTCCAACAACATAAGTACCATCTTTTCTCCTTCCTGAAGTATCAACTTCCGAACCGGATTGAAGAGTGAACACATATTTGCTAGCGGCCTATCATAATTCATCAAGTTTCCTACGCTGTGAATATCAGTTGTTTTTCAATACCATTTAAAGCAAAAAAAAGAAGCATATTGCTTAAGAAATCGACGTTATGGAACAAACTCCATCACTAGATGATAAGACCATCTGAAAAGGGGACCAAAGAAAACTGACAAGATGTCGAGAGGTTTGCCAAGCATGAGAAAAATCAACAAAAAAGTTCCTACACACTTAAAGTTCTGCCAATGCTGCAATGTCCATGAAATGAGTACTTTTTTTCAAAATTTCTGTTTGTAGTAAACTATGTCTTGTGTGAAATTGTAAAGATAACAATCAGGGGTTGAAAAAAAGTAATACGTAAAAGGAAGTTGGTCAAAAGTTTCAGATACACAAAAGGAAAATATCCCCAATAACCTAAGAATATTGAAGCTCCATATGCAACTTGTGACAAGGCAAATACAATCTCTTTCTCCTGCAAATCAGATGGTAAATTTTCATATTAGGAAGTTGATGTGTTAGATGACAACAGAAAGTAAAAACATTAGAAGCAGTCAAAGAAACTACATGAAAATTACACCATTATAATACAATTGTGTAGGCTATATACTTCTGGAAAACAAAAACTTTAGAAATATAGTTAGTTTCTTGTTAACAACTATGAACCAGCAACAAACAACAAAAGAAGCATGTAAGACTACACGGTTAGGACACGGACATTTTTCAGATATTAAAACAAGTCTCTGATATTCCCCTAACAATGTCCAAAAATCACATAACGCACTCTATGGTCGAGTAACAAAGTCCACACCGAAGATTCTTGTATTACAATATACATTGACCTAAAAAGAACAATTTTTTTCTTTTTCAAATTGAATTTTTCTGACTTCCAACTCAGGGTCCCAATAACATGTTAAATGTGTCAGTATGGTTTATCCTCCCCCAACTTGTATTATTACTTTTCTACTTTTTGACGCACCAAATCATCCAAATTTACGGTTTTCCTCAATTATTTTTCAATTTTACTTCTACCATCTCATTAAACACTGAAAACTTCAAAAAGAAAAGATGAGTGCTTAACAAATAAAATTACCGCATATTCTTCTTCTGACAATCCACGAATTGAATATGAAAGGGATTCCTCTTAACGAGAATAGCGTAGCTATCATACTCGGGTTAAATGTATCAATACCTCCTCAACTTTAATGCTGACCACTCAACTTTATTTGATTTCATCATGAACATCAAATTTTATATTTAGCCCCGTTTGTCATCCATTTTATCAGTAAACAATCTCTACCACATATTCATTTAATAAAATATTCTATACACAGATCAATAAAATTATTTTACTTTTAAACCACACATTCTCCAAAAAATACTATTCAAAACTCCATTTCTTCACCCAAAATGGGAGACAAACAAGCACTTAATATTATCATGATTATCAAATTTATTTTATTTCAATATGATCACGGATCATCCAATTTCATGTAATGTTTCATCACAGCCACCAACTTCTTTTTAACTCTTTTCACTAATTTCAAAAGTGTCAAAATGGTAAATTTGCACTATATATAAAAAATAAATTTTAAAAAACAAGAATAAAAGTTTTTTTTTTTATTTTATTTTAAAATAAGTTTTTATGTTATTTTAAAAATGTTTTTCAAAATAAGTATTTATTTATTTATTTTTTTTTTTAAGTAACATTTTTTTTAAATAAATTTTTATTTTAGTTTATTTTTAAATTTATTTTATATATAATGCAAAGTTACTGTTTTATCCAGTTTAAAATTAATGAAAAATGGTGAAAAGAAGTTAGATAACCATAGTGAAATGTTACATAAAATTGGGTGGTTATAGTAAAACATTATATAAAATTGGATGATTATGATGAAATAATATCAAATTGAGTGGTCATGGTGACACTAAGTATAAAGTTGAATGACTATAGTGAAACAAAATCAAATTGAATGACCATAATGACAATTGAGTGACCATTGTTGTATTTAACCTATCATACGCATTTATTTAAAACGGTAATTAGAGAAAAAAATTAGGCATAAATGAGATCATATAATTGATGAAGGTGAATGGAAATAAGTCAATAACTAACCAAATAAGTATTTCAACGTGTGCGATAGATTTGCACCCCAGTCTTCGTGTGAAGGCTTCGATTTCGATTCATCTGAAACAATTTTCTTCATGGATACATTTAAAAATGGCTTGTTCAAACTTCGTAATTTCAATTTAAAATTTTCAATATTTACATATTTTCTACCTATGTTATAAATAAAGATCACCTTAAATATGTTATACAATTATAAAATATTATTTTATTTAAAAGACAATACTATCTAATAAACAAGTAAAAACCAAACACTTTCAAATTAAAATTTTAAAATCAACTATTTTTTCTTACCGGTTTATCCCAACGCATATAAAAGTTGTCTCATTTTTCATTTACTTCAACCTCAAAATTTCAAAAATTTTTTAAACGCTGAATAAGAATATTTTTTTTATATCTATCACTTCGAATCGATAAGTAAATTTTTGTATGTTTAATCTTGTTTTCGTTTAATTAGTATACTTTTTAATCGATAAATCTTATTTCCATATAAATTAATATTTTAATAAAAAAATATTTTGTGGATTTATAATTTTTTTGAAGTATAAACAAGAAAAAAAAAATTATTGTACATACACCTTTCAAGCTAGATTCATGACAATGTATTTAACAGCCAACTGTTAATAGCCTTAGGCAATCGGTTGTTAACATCCAGCTACGTAATGGTCGGCTATTAACGTTAGTCAGATCGGTTGCAAACAATTGGCCCAGCCGTTTGGGCATACTGTTAACAGTCGGTCCAACTTCTTTTTTGAAGTAATAGCTTTGTTGTCTAGTGGTTGAACCGATATTTTGACTATATTTTTCTTATAATTAAAAATTTTGTTTCGTCTGCAAATATGGTTGTAATCCCGGTTTGTTACTTTTGTGATTTCGAATTGGATGAAAAAGATCAATGGGTGCAGAAATGGACGAGTGATACACATGGTTGTATTCTAATTTCCATAATATCGAGTTTATCATATGCGAAACTATACCATGACTTACGAAACAAGATGAAATTCAATCTCTCTCAGTACAATATGGAGCTGAGATTTCAATTCAACGAGTATTCATCTATTGTTGAAATGAATTATCTATTCAAATTGAACAAAATGCACACGACTCATCTTTGCATGACTTTAGTAATGAAGAATGTTATCGAATGTGAATACGAATATTCGGATGAAGGGGATCACAGTGCCAATGATTTTTGGGACATAGTGAAGATAGCTCGTGATGATGATGTAGTTATTTCTAAGATAGTTATTCATTATCGTGATCTCGCTGTTACGCACAGAATTTCCTCAATAGTTCATGACAATGAGAATGAAAATGAATTTACGAATGTAAATTTGATTGCTTTATTTCGTTAGAGATATAAGTGGGGTGGGAGCTCAAGGGCAGTATAAAGTGGACCGTTATCTAATTCTTCTCATGTGGTTCCCGATGATGAGGATTTCCATGTCGAGCAACTGTTTGAAACAATGAAAGACTTGTAGAAAGTTGTTCACCGGATTGCATAGAAGTACAACTTTGAGTTCAAAGTGAAGAAATCAAATAAGTCATTGTTGACAATTATCTGCGTCGACGACAGTAGTCATCGGCATTTGCGTGCAATGAAGATGGACACGAATGAGTTATTTGTAATTCGCAAGTATACACGGAAACATACTTGCGAAGTGAGAATTCGTCGAAATGATTACAAGAAAGTCTGAGCATGGTTTAATAGTCTAATTATGAATGCAAGACCTAAGTAACTAAAATCAATGCAAAGATTGCAGTTAATGCAAAATTAATGAATATGTAATGATTAAAAATGCACTAAAATCTCGAATCTCTGGTATCAATCCCTTTAACCCTAACCTTACAATTCAACAGCATTATTCAATTACGAAGATCAACTAAATAGTTTAACAGTCTCTCTAGAGTAGAACTAAACATATTCTCACATGTTACCCGACTATTTTTATGACGAATGCGAACACACAATAAAACATTAAGGCTTTATGTACGTAAAATATAGCAGTATATTTCTATTCTCTATCGGACTCTATGACGATTAACACCATGTCTAGCTTATTTTTTATCTTTCGAAGGTAAAACAAGTTACAATATTCATACAATCATTATGCACATAATTGTAAAAAAGATAATTATCTAAAAATCGTTTAACAATTGAATACGTGTTTGAATGTCTAAAAGAAAAATTAAGAATTAAAGATTCATGATACAAAATTTATCGTAACCCTAGCACGAAATTCTTTTAGCCTAACATGTTATGAAGAGTAAAGTAAAATACATAAAAGTTGTTCGTCACCCGAAAATTCTTGAATTCAATCTTGAGATTCTTGGATTCGATCTTGAAGTGTTTTTCGCCTCTTTTTGCAATCAATTTTACACATTAACTTTGAGTTGATAAATTGTATTTATAGTACTCTCCAAGAAGTCCTTAAAGTCTCTTGAATTCATGTAAATAATGGTCCAAAAGTGAGTTTCTTTGTTGGAGTTAAATTCTAAAAGAAAACAGCATTTAGGTCCCACATTTGCCGAGGCGACCAAATCCAGGCCCTCGCCCAGTTATGTATTTTAGCTTCTGTTTTTGAAAATTCAACCACCCCACTTTTATAGCTGGCAGTCGCCCAGTTATACCAACTTTCAACCTTTACATTTTGGTCCCCGAATTATATTTTTGATTCTTTCAAGTCATTTTCTCTTGCAATTTCGATTCTTCAACTTCTAATTACATCCAATTGAACCCATAACATCTTCAATTTGTGGTCTAAATCAACTATTAAAATGTTACAATTTAGTCCCACATACTTTGGATTTCACCTTTTTTTCTTTTTCAGTTGCTTAGAAACGAGTCTAACACTGAAACAAACGAAAAATTAACCCAAGTTAAGTAAAATTAAATACTTT